TGTTCTGCCTATGCCACTCTTTCCATGTAGTGAAGTTTTTCTCTTTGTTTGACGACTAAAACATTTTCCTGAAAGTTTTATGATCAATCCAAATAAACCGATATACATGGAAGTGTCTACACAATAAACATATATAAAGACAATTATTACATAATGATTTGTTATTTCTGAATCAGTGTACTTAATTCCTACCAACAATTAAAGACAACTAAACGATGAAATCACATGAATAATACCATCATTTCACTTGGTATTGTTTGGCTTGTATCTTCCCATTGAGGTTTAAGACTGCAAATGATCAGTCTGTTAGTGACATATGTGCATACTGTGCGTATGCCTCGATATTGTCTTAATTCACAAGCTTTTTGTAAGCAATGGTGGATAGTGGCTTGCAGTGGAATCCAGGACGCGCGTTTCGTCCTGAGTGGGTAACACGATGGCGTTTGAAGCGAGTGGTACTGGGTTCGAATCCAAGAGTGAACACCAACTCTGAAATGCAGGTACATCCAGCTGACGACTCCCAAATAGGACGAAACGCGCGTTCTGGATTCTACTGCTAGCCACTATCCATCAATATCATCATTTTATTAGGAGAAAACTCAACATCACAATATCCATTTGATTGTTACTAGTATTTTTTTTTCTTGATCAATTCGTCAATAAGACAACACAATCAATATCCTTAGTATAAATAATATTCAGTGTTACTGATAATTGACAATGATGTCAGGCTGACATTCAAATACAAAACAATCGGTGTATATTTGGAGGATTGTAAAAGAGAAAAAGTGGGCGAGAAGGAGAGCAGACCTGAGGTTATGTGGTAGAATGTAAAAATATAAAAATTTATGTTAAAATCCAGCTGTTGTTTACCATAACTTCTAAAACATGTTTTAAGGAAAAGGAAATTAAATGTCCAAGTAACGAGGACACGAGAATATCTAATTAACCGATGAGGCCATAATTTATGGAAAACGTCAAAGTGACCTTGAAAAAAGTCAGTCTATTACTAGTGTCGAACGAGGATTATAAATCAGTGTGAGAAATTAGAATCGGGATTTAGAGTTCAAAGTTGGGGATCGGAATTGGAGTTAAGGTTTTCATCACGAAATGACATCAATTGTAATGCCAAAATCTTATTTAGTCATATGGGTAGATGAGCTTCGCACCGAAATACAAGACTCACTATACTGATTCGGATTGGTTCATCCATAAATTATAGTCTCATCAAATAGCTTAAATTTACTGGAGTAGAATTAAGATGAAGTCAACCGTACATAGGACTAGTGCAAGACAGCAGGTGTTAACATTATGTGATCAATAAGAGGTTTTCGCCAAAGATTTTAATTCAACACAATTCTATGATTGATAACCACAGCAGGAAAATTTGAGTGTAATAAGATTTGAAGTCAAACTACAAGTGTGAGCTTGAGTGAATCGTTAAACGACTGTAGCAAATTCCTGGCTCATTCAGTCAATTAGAAAATACTTAAATCTGAATGAATGATTTATAATGCTGAGATTAGAACTCAGAATCAACTTCGGGGCTTCATTACCAACTGACATTAACTATGATTTATATTGCTACAAAGAAATTTTCCATTGTGGTTAATATCAGTTCGTGATGAGAACCTTAACTGTATTTTGAACCCAATAAGTGGTTTAAATTTCCAGATGTCACTTTAAAAATCGTTTAAGGCCGTAAAAAGCATCATAGCGTTAATGATAAGATTTTTTTTTACTGAGTTAAAATATTCGGAATACAACCAGTGATCAACAGTTCTTTAGGAAGATTCCTCTATTTCAATCTCCATTGACGATATGCTATTTCGATATATGTACCATAACCTTGAAGCGATTAGGAAGTTCATCTTTGCCTCGTCCTTATAGTTCAGGTTTACTACACAATTGAGATTATTTATGCACTTAAGTTCAATCACATATCATTTAGTTGTAAGGTGATGATGAAAAGTAAGCGATTTTAGCTTAAAGTGAATATAGTAACCGACCATTATGGGTAACTTAAAGCACGTTTTAGTAAATGTATGTAATCACTGGTAGCCTCAGATCATGTATAGTGGAACCATCATTTAGCAAATGTACAAGAAATCAGGTTAATCAGTTTTTAATACTAAACGGACTGAGATGAAGAGGATTACGACATAGATATTCACTAACTGTTAACCAAGATATGTAGTCAATCAGTTACTATGAAATGAAGAGCATAAAATAAATAGCCATTTGTTCAAGTTGTCACATCAAATGAAGGTGATAAAGAAACGTTATACGCTGACTAAATAATACAGGAGGAGGGGGATGTACGACAACCTGACTGTTTCAATAGAAAAGTGTTGAGGTGTTTGAACTTATGACCTAATGATTATGAGCCGAACGTTTTAGCCATTAATCCCCCACACATCTAATTCCAGCTAAATTACAAGACAAGTAGAGAATATTTCGGTAAGATCGAACTTGGCATTAATTCGTAAAATTATTGACCGTCGATATGCGTTATTATGCAGAAGTATAAACTATTCGAAAGAAACTAGATAGTTGATTTTTTTTTACGATTATAATTTCGAGTCGACAATAACAATCTGAAGTGAACGATATCAATTATGTTTTGTTCTAATTATCACTGAATTACTATTTATTACATAAACACAATTAAAAGTTAAGATCATGAGTCAATTGAAGCTAGATCATCATAGAAAATATGGAAGCACTGGATAGCTGTCTCATTCTAGTATGGGACTCCTCATTAGTGCGGACCCACGATCCCGTCTCGCGAGATTTGAACCCAGAACCTATTAGTCTCACGTGCAAGTACTTAACCTCTAGACCACTGAGCCGGCTGGCATCCAACGGTGTTAATGTCTAACTTCCAACTAATCTCGCGAGACGGCAGATCACGGATGAGCACTACTGAGGAGTCCTATGCTAGGACGAAACGGCCGTCCAGTGCCTCCAGGTTTTCCATGGCGATCTGTTTTTCTTAAAATTTTCGGATATTTTATTAATATTTTAATGAGAACAAATTATCTTTATTAGTATAGGGGTTGTGGAGATTATTAAGTTTTTGATTGAGATCATGAATCGATTGATGTTAGACCATCACAATTGAAAACCTGGAAGCACTGGACGGCCGTTTTGTCCTATTGTGGGACTCCTCAGCAGCGCGCAATTTTGTGGATTGGTCGATGTTAGAAACTATCACCATTGGATGCCGGCTCAGTGGTCCACTTGGTTAAGTGTTCGCGCGCGAGACCGAAGGCCCTGGGTTCGAATCCCGCTCACCGGATCGTGGATGCGCACTGCTGAGGAGTCCCACAGTAGGACGAAACGGCCGTCCAGCGCTTCCACGTTTTCAATTGTGATGGTCTAACGTCAAACGATTCATGATCTCAATCAAAAAATTATTTTTAAGTGGGATTACATATTGATTCTTCACTGTAAACTAAGTCAATAAAAATATACCCAATACACTAAATTCATTTACATAAACAGAGGGGATTAAATATAGAAATGTGTCCAGTATTGGGGGTGGGGTGGGGCTAAATATTACTAATAAACTTTATGTAATGTATATGTGTATTTAAGAGATAATTTTCGATCGATTTCATTAGAACAAAATGTTATGACCTTTATAGATAAGTGTAACAAGTATTCATTATAAAAGAAAAATAACACAACGACGACGACGACGACAACAACAACAACAACAACAGACAACTAACAAAAAAACATTATAGAGAGTAACAAAACTACACATTTTAATTTACTAATCTGTAATTCACTTACATGTAACCCAGGTAATGTAGCCATTAAATTCAATTCAAATGGAATACATTGACCAGGTAATAATTTGCCAAGTTTTTGTCTAGTTTTACTTAACCAAACAATCAATGGTAAATAATTATTTGTTAATTGAATTGAATTATTATTATTATTATTATCATTATTAGAGGTATTTTCATTTTCATTGATGATTGATTGAATTGGAATTGAAGAAGTACCATTGTATTTAGTTGAACATAAACTAAGTATTAAGTCTAAATTCATTTTACTATATGAGTAATAAAAAAAACAAACATCAAAATGAAACAAAAGTTAAATTATGTATGATAAGCAAACTGAACGAGAGGGGAACTGAAGAAATAGTCAATTTGTTATACCATGTTAAGCTAGAGAAATTAAACTATCACTATAAATCCTAGAGTAGTAAGAATTAGGAACATAGTGGTGGCAGAGAAAATTACGCATTCCAGAAAAAGGAATAAGCTTATGGAATAAAAAGGAGGTAATTTTGAAACTAAAGATCTAGTTGGAGATATAGAATGAATGAGAAAACCGCATTGTGTTCGACTTTAAGTCATGTCACCTAACGCTTTCAAATATTGGTTACGATAATCGCGCCAACCCCAACTAAGTGTAGTCCATATCTATTTACATAACTAAGTTCTAATGTCAATGACTTCAGAGACTGACGCCATATTTTATTTTAGTTGCTATTAGCCTTATTCCAAACTACCATGACAGAAGCCAACATCGTGCGCCGAGGTAGATGGTGATTAAAGTGAAGAAGTTAGAGAAGAAGAAACGAGAAAATCAAAAATGTGAGTATCGATGTTTGAACTGGATGGAAAAAGTGAATGAAGTCAACTTATAACATGGTAACATGAATCAAATGTTAATTGTGGAAGATTGACATTCACCGGTCCGTTACAACATATTAGGTGAGAACTTTAAAAAAAAAGTAACTTAAAGACTTAGAAAATTATCAAGAAGTTATCTCACAGTAGAAACAGGTGATAATTCGTCTACAGGTTTCTATTGTACTCTTCAAAACTTTAAAATGAACCTTCTCAACTGAAAGAAATCTATGTAGATTACTTTCCTCAATGAAATGCATTTGGTTGACGCAGGTCATCAAGTCGAATTGAATAAAGCTTTTAAGATTATCTACAATATTCTACCAAATCTACCACATGCTTTACGAGTGCGCCTTTTGCACATTGCGGAAGCCATCGCAATCCATGTTCACAAACCTGACCTTTTTGCATCCAAAAGAAATTCGTACAACCACTTTCTCTGTCCTGGCCTTCAGTATAAGATTTCCGTCATAAGAACTATTTTTCATACTTCTTCCACTTTTTTTTTAAATTTTTGTAATTTTGTTTCTATTGCGGTTGAACTTTATAACTTCTCCTATTGACTATCCGTTAAAATTCTGTTCCTTCTTTGTTTCTTATATTACGCAACGTACCAACTTTTTGATTTATTAATTACTTTGAATATTGTTCATCCTCTTTCTTCCAAATGCATTTTATTTACTAAACACTATCCTTCCTTACAAATGTCAAGACAGTTCCACTGTATGGGGCAGAAACCTGGAGAACTACCAAAGCCATCATCCAGAAAATACAGATGTTTATTAACAATTGTCTACGCAAAATACTTCAGATTCGTTGGCCGGACACAATTAGCAACAACGTACTGTGGGAGAGAACAAACCAGATCCCAGAGGAGGAAGGAATTAGGAAGAAGCGCTGGGAGTGGATAATACACACATTGAGGAAAGCACCCAACTGCGTCACAAGACAAGCCCTCACGTGGAATCCTCAAGGCCAAAGGAAAAGAGGAAGACCAAAGAACACATTACGCCGGGAAATGGAGATACACATGAGAATGAACAAAATTTGGATGGAATTAGGAAAGAAGGCCCAGGACAGAGTGGGTTGGAGAATGCTGGTCAGCGGCCTATGCTCCATTGGGAGTAACAGGCGTAGGTAAGTAAGTAAGTATCCTTCCTTACCTACCTCTATTGGTTAGATGACATTTTCCCCTCTTATTTCATAACATTATTACATGTTCTATATTTCATGTGTGGTAAGTTCGTTCGATTGTATTAGAAACGTTTACGTCATAAGTAGAAAAAACATAATAGTTCAACATCATATAATCACTGCATTATTTCATGATCAATACACTTAGATAGTGATATATAACAATTGTAATCTCTTAAAAGTAATTTTCAGAAAAGCCAATCTTGGTAATACATACTGAATAATTCATGGATTCTGAGAAAATTTCATCTACATATCAATAATATATTAGAGCAAGGGAGTGGTGTACAGTGCCTAAAATAATTTCACTTCAATCAGTGTCTTTTCAGGTAAATTTCAATTTTTACATGAATGCTTCAGTTGATGAGTCACGGATAGGGCGAAACATGAGTCCTGAATTCCATAACTAATCAACATGTATCTCTGCTGCTAACAATACTTGTGACTTAATGCAATATCGTATCGATCTGCACAATATGCACATATATCAATAAGAAACTGATCAACTGCAGTCTTAAACATCAATGGGACGATCCAAACAATCAATACAAGATGAATCATATGATACTTTGTTTGCTGTCATTGTATTGATTTTGGAAGTAAACCTTTTATTCTTTTTTTTCTTCAAATTTCCACGTTTTTGTTTCATTTCAGAGTTCAGTTGGGAAAAATTAACGACAGTTTAGAAATCGGTCCAAAAATTGATTATCTTAAGCATTTGACTGTTATAATCTTAGATGTCAACAATCTATACAATAAAAGTGCATTAAGTTCCACTGGACTCGAAATATCCCCCTAAAAAGACGATCCCCTGGCTGTTCGAAATATACATACAAGACATAACATGACTAAAGTAATGAAAAAAAAACAAAATAATTTAATACTAAATTGGGACAATTACAGTATTTATTACAAGTAGACTCTTCATCAAAGGGTTTAGTAAATTACTTTTTTTGGCGTTAATCATAGAGTAAAGGAACAAAGAGAAAACTAGATATATTTCACATGAGTAAAAATGTTATTCCTCCTTTCAATGATCACCCTTATTATTAGAGGCTCTTATTCATTAGCCCGCTTTGAATGGATATTTACATAAAGGCATATTTATGTATATAGAGTCAACGTATTTTAGATCGATTAGTTAACGTCTATCAAAGTAATTTTATAACTAACCGGAAAGAGAATGAATAATAGTTGTATATAGTTACATGAAGTAAATAATCCCGGTAAACACCAGTTGATATAATCAATCAATAAATAACATTTCATATCATTAACGTTCTTATCATCTTCAGTAGTTATAATTGACAAGAGTTAAACTACTATTCAAAATAATAAAGTATGTGATCTACCTGCAATTAGTTAATTCAAACTTTAATGTGAATGGTTGTTCTGTTGTCACAGTGGATGGAATAGTTAAAACCCTCAATTGAATATCACCAAAAGTAGGAAGCTGAAAAAATATGGAAAACAGAAAAAAGTGCTTTCATTTGAAAAAAAAATCTTGTCCAGTTTCATTGTTAATCCATAATGAGTTTCAAGTAGAGATATTACATTACATAAGTTATAATTGAGTTGTTTTTAATGCTGATCTATTGGATAGTAAGGATTCCCGCCCAAAACATTTTATTACTATCGATTATATCATAATTTTATACTTTTAGCTTGATCATGATGTTATCTTTGGCAAAACGAGAGCTTTACTTTCTCACTAGAACACCTATATAACAACTACATTTCAAAATAAGAAAACCAGAGCAGTCTCATCTGTTTGACAAAAACCAATACAGAATACATTTACATCAATAACAAAATGAAGTTCATTTATGCTGAAATGATCAGTTAGTCACAATGTAGAACCTACACGTATGCACATCGATCCAAGTTGCCATACCTCATTAGCACACCGAAATGAAATTGTCAGGCCAAATCAAAGAATAGTGAAAGTTGTAACAGTATCAGTGGTAATCGAAAAGATTAGGCACGGAAGATAGGACTCAAAAAGGAAATATAAATTAACGAAATAAAAACAGAAAAATTATGAGAGATTAAGGATGTCAAAATTTTGGAGAAGACAAAGAATGGATGCATCTGCGCCATTGCAAAAGACTTTGAGCTATGTCATTCAAAGTTTCTAACGATTGGTTACGATAATCACGTGGAATCCAACCAGGTGATCTATACCTATTAACAGGGATAAGTCCAATTGTCAGTAACTTCATAAACTGATGTCGTCTTTTAGCTTGACCGCCCATAGCATAACAAAAAATCAATAAATGAACAAAAATAAGTGGATAGGAGTAAAAAAAAATAACGGAAGAAGCAGTTCAATTTAAAACAAATACAACCGGAAAGAATTTTTCCCGTTAAAGAAGTTCCTCTTACTTTTATAAAGTAAAGGAAAATTATAATAGGACTGTTACTAGTTTCAATTCCAAGTTATGTTTGATAATACCTTAAGCCACTGAGTTGTAGAACCCCAATAAGGGTGTCGTGAAGGACAGACAGATGCCAATCCTGTACAGCTTTCTTGCATGGCTGGGATCTGTCAACTGAAGTTTTTAAACCGTTCTAAAACCTACTGCGTACACAAGAGGAATTATGCAAAAACTAATTCGGTGAACGAATAGAAGTTTTTAATGGTGAAGTGTAACGGTGTGAGTATCATAGGTTATATTGAACTGTGGGATGGAATTTCATTGAATGATTGTCACGAATAGCTTATTTGAATCTTATTTCGACCTGCATAAAACGGATTTTTGACTGGATGTTTTACGTCAGCCAATACTAATTTAATTATTTTGTTTAAATAGTAAGAATACAACAAACTGTCATTAGAATATTCTACGTTCATAACTCTGCATTGTGATATGATGATATTCATATAATCCATTTGTTTGGTAATACATGAAAACGTATCACAGTCATTCAATTAGGAATGGATTGAATTATCCCGTTGTTCATATTTTTGACGGAAATTAGGTCGATCTTCTTTAGCATACGTCCATCCTATATGGATTGCCTCGATATGGTCATTATGACAATTTAGTATGGAATAAATGGACTATGACAAGTAGTGGAATCCAGAAGGAGTGTTTTATCCTATTTGAGACGTGAACATCAAGCCTGTAATGGAATTATATCCAGCTGGCGGATCCGAAAAAGGACGAAACATGCATCCCGGATCCCACAACTCGTCACATTTCATTTATTCTTTACTAATTATAACAATAATTCATCCAAAATTATCGATTTAAAACTATCGAACTAACTTCGTATTTTAAAGAACTTGTTTGTAAGCGTCCTCTTTCACCCATAAGTGATCTCCATGTAATGTCTAGACGTCCAGCTGATATTGACACTTGACGGGTAGTTGTGGAAGAAACTGGAATTGGATCAGGCACAGTTGAAGTTGGTATTGATGAATTGGTAGATGATAGATTTAATAAAGGCGATGAATTGATTGTTGTTGGTATTAAACGGTATAAAAATTGTTGCACATCATTCGGTTGTAAATAATACGTTGGAGTGTTAGAATGAGATCTGAGAAACGAGGCAAACATATCAAAGTGAATGAATACTGCAGACGCTTCATTATTATCATCTATATAGGTTAAGATCGACTTAAATCAATGGTATCATAACTATTGAATATCAATTTATGATTAAATAGTACAGAAAGAGTTGTACGACCTAAAATGATACTTGATATAGGATTTATTTTCTGTAATATCATGCAACTGCAGAATGTACAAATGACTGAAGGGGCTTCGATCACTAGTGGGACATTAGATGTCCACTGTTGAGACGTTCCGTACCAGGAGAGGATAACTGTCAAGTACTTTCTCGTTCTCAATGATTGTATAACTAACTTCGATCTGTGAGAGTTAACAGAAACCATAAAACCCCACATGGCTTAGCAGACAGCGTCATTCATCAAATAACGATATAACCATTATAGCACAAGCTAGCATAGAATAGATGGATTAAAGTTAGCAGTGTAATCCATGACGTAAGTTCGGACTTGTTTGAGATTCGTTAGCAGGATCTACTTGCATTCCAGTGTTGATATTTACGTTAAGACTCGAACCCAGTACCGTCCACTTCAACGCCAATGTGTTACCCACTTAACCACATTGCGTTTGCTTCCTACTAACTTGTGTCATCAAGACTATGCAGAGGTGACTCGCACAGAATGCACATATATCAGCCAAGACTGATAAACTTTCAGTCAAAAATATAGACAAATGGATAATTCCAATCTATTACAAGTTGAATTTAAACACATAACCGTTTCATAAGTAAGCGGCTGTTCGAAATCAATAGCTAGGTGGATAAAACGATAGCGTTTGAAGCGAACAGTAATAGCCTTGAATGGTGGAATAAGTATCAACTCTAGAATGCAAATGCATCCATCTAACGAGTATCGAATAAGACAACATGTGCATCCTGGATTGTATTGCTAGCTATATTGTATCCATCCAACTTAAATGCATATTCCTAGAAATGTCTCTCTAAAAGAAATAACAAACACATAATAGAATACTTTGATGTCAATCAATCATTAATGTCAATCGAATCAATTCATAAACAAAAGAACGCAAATGAAAAAGGAAAAATTACTTTTTACCAAACTGTAAATTATTTAAATCAATCACACTGAATTGAGGATTTGATTCGAATAAAACACGTTCAAGTATAATTGGTGTTACAGTAAGATTTTGAATTTGTGTCTCCATAAGTACACTATGATCAATCTAACAAAACAAAGTGGATAGAATAAGAGAGATGAATCTGACATTGATAATCAATCATGAAGATGTATTCCTTTGTTTGATAAAAAACATGTACACAACTCATAATGAAACAACTTTGCCTTAAAGCAACATAGGTTAACCTTGAGATGTTCTGAAATTAGCAAACTAAAAGTGATAATGATCAATTAGACAATAAAGTATTCTTAAGAAAGTAAGAACTAGAACATTTTCAACTTAATTATCATTAAAAGAAAGAACTTAAATATTTACTAGAATAATGAACAGCACGTATTGATCTTAGAAAACCAGGGAGCACTAGATAGCTATTTCGTCGTAGTATAAGACTATTCAGCAGTGTGCATCTACAACTTTGTCAGGGACCAAACACCTGAAGAGTCTGATATTAAGACGAAACAACTGTCTAGTCTTCCTAGGTTTTCAATGATTGTATGGTTAGTCCGTAATGTCAACAATGTAAATGTACCAATCTCCATAAACTCCTCTATATGAATAACATTAACAAGAAACTAATTGGAAAACATGTTAAAAATATTCAGAAAGCAACTTCATTATGTTGAAAAGCCTCTAAAACTTTTAAGATTGATTGTAACTCTGTGAATACTCTTTATTTTATGTAATTGAGTTAACAATGGAAGTAATGTTTACTTAGTATGTCTCCCTTTTTGTTTTAATTCGGGTTTTAAGTGCTGAAGATTGTGGGAGTCTAAAAGTCGATACAGAAGTCAGTTTCTCAAGACTTCAGTGTTTAGAACTTATGAAAAAGTTCAACAAGAGGCTAAAACCAATAGTCAATAACTACATGTTACGTAATGATTTAACTTTATAAACTAACATACTACTATGATACCCAAAATATCATTTCTGGATAAGCAATGACAAGCATTTCAGTGTTATCAAACGTTAACTTCACTTTCAAAAAACCCAACGCCAAAAGAGACTAGCATAATTCACTGACCTCTATTCGTAAGATTTACAAAATAAATATTTGTGATTAAATACATGCAACGAGCATGTATTTCACCTCCTACCTGAAGTTGTCGCACGTTCGAAAAATAATACAAAGTGGATTTATATTATGATTAACTAGATATTGTATCAGATTCATAGTTTGAAAAAGAGAATCAACATTGTTGTTATTAGATGGCGGTTGCAGGTAGTTAACAGGAAACCCTGGACCCAGGTTTCGTGCTACTTGGCACTCGTCAGTAATGTATACCTGTAGTCTTGAGGGAACTGGTGCTTCCGAGTTACCCAGCTTCACAGTCAGAGACGTTACCACTGCGCTAACCGGGCTGTAACCGACCTCCTGTAGCACTGAGATGTAATCACAATTGATTGATCAGTGGGTGGTGACCAATATCATGTGTGTCAAGTCCTTCTTAGTGCAGATCGAATGCTATCGACTAATTTGCAATGTAGCCACTAGTCTAAGTGACTCGACATTGCGTGCACTATGTTGAGATCAGATAGTGGTTGGAGGTAGTCAACAGGAAACCCTAGACCCGAGTTTCGTGATACTTGTTACTCGTCAGCAAAGCGTACCTAATATCTTGAGGGAACTGGTGCTCCATTGTTGTTATTGTATCTAGACTCTGTTACCTAACAACCTACAAAACTGATTCAACTCAAAAGATAAATACAGTACTCAATTTCCTCAATTACTCTCCTTATATACAAGTTTAGGCAAATGTATCTCAAACATATTTCCCTAGTCATTTAAGGAATTTTTAAAAAAAAATAAAAATTATACAACGTATACAATAAAACATTTCACTTAAAGCCTAAAAATTTAGAAAGTCATAAATAAATAAATAAAAATAACTTTTCTCTGATGTAATTAAATAAATCATTCAACCAAACAATTAAATAAACCCGACCGTTGTTGCTACCTTGACGTGGTGATCGGGCTTATCTATCGTAATGAACCAATAGAACTAGACTGGCTACAACAATCGTTCCTCAAGGTCCTACCATGTCAGACAGGTAGGTTGAAGAGCGGTAAGACTGAAGCAACAAACCCAAGGTCCGAAGGTGAAGTCGTACTACTGACTGTACAGAGGTGTGACAGCAGTAAGGTGTATCCTCCAGACAACCAGCATGACAGCGATGTTGCCTTCCCACAAGAAGGCGTGGGGTTAGAAAAGGTCGACCCTAAAAATGCACACCTCACCTTATACCACGGATATCCGTCTCCGGCGGTAAGGTCTCAACAAGTACGGAGCTAACACAAAAATTACTCAGAAAAATGTAGTGTGTGACCGACCTCAAGCAGTTGTCCCTTGGGCACTGTGGTCACGCTCTCTGGTCACTAAGACCACCTCTAATCCAATTTCCTTTTCAGGTAACTCCAGAAGAACCCTTCCACGGTGTGGGCAACCGGGAAGTGATAACCGCCCTCATACCTCTAACAGCACTCAAGACTGACTGACAATTAAATAAACATACTCACTACCTCTCTCATTACGTAATATTACAAACGATTTTTTACAGACATCGTTAATATATCCAAAACAGATTTGGAAAATTCTTATTCTTATTTTATTCTTATTCTTATTCTTCTTATTATTATTAATGGTTCTATTTAATATCATATCTTTGGTACAATACAGAATTTTCAGAACAAAGTATTTCAATAAGTCTCCTTTTCTCTTAGTTCTTAATCAATCCTGACGATAAAGATTGAGTGTTCACTAGTTAGATGTTAGCATTGTAGTGAACAAGAACATGAGTGGAGATAATCGAATGTATTTGAGCACAAAATTACAGAACATCTTACTAAAATCTGAGAATCATATAGTAAATAGTTAATTTGAAAAATATCAATCCATCGTCCCATACTTCACTGCTCATTTTGCAAATACCAGTCCATTGTCTCAGATTTTATTGTTCATGCATTTTCATGTCACTTGCGAACCGTTTCCGTTCTTTCCTTATCGATCTTTTGCCAAAATACATTCTCTGCCCGTCCACTGTTATATACTACTGATATGAATATAAGTAACCCACACCACAGTAGTTCAAGAATCGATAACAAAATAATGTTCATTCTTTTTATTGCATGCTACTATCAGCAACTACGATGTCTCTGATTGCACATTTTTGTAAATTGTACAATGAAAGGTTGTAAACATTTCATAAAAGTGACTGAATAGGTTGATGATTATATTAAAACAAACAAGAAATCAGATAGCTTGTTGAAATGTTTAGATGACAGGAACAGGTAGCCCAAATAATCAAGCACGCCGCCAAGTCCTATATAACTATTATGTGGAGTACATGTTGACAGAAACGTTATTTAATAAAGAGTTTATATGGATATAATTTAAATTGTTTTTCACCTTCTATAATATGCTTACAAATTTATTGAAAATGGATTATATTACCTAATATAACTAGGATTTTCTTGTGTGTAAACCAATTAATGAGTTAATTAATTTTAGGAAATTTATTTAAACTGATCCAATAATCATTCATTTTTGTATTGTTTGTTAATATCTTTCCAATGATATTTAGGACTGCAATTGATCAGTCTGTTATTGGGTTCAAGTCCTGCAGTGAACGTCAACTCTGCGATGCAGTTATATTTATCTGACAAGTCCCGGATAGGACGAAGTGGCGCACGTCTTGGATTCCACTCCTAGCCATCACTGATCTTAGTTTATAATGATTAAATAAGGTTTTTAACATTGAAATGAAAAGAACTCTTATTGAATGATTAGGTCCTATTAATTTGAATGTGTAGGTAAAATATAATTGGCTTGTTAATTTAAGTCAAAAATTCAATTCAACATCAGTTAATCGCATGAAAAGACCAAAAGTGATAATCGAAACATCAAGTCAATTAGGTTAATATATGGCATTATTCCATGAAATTAACTTCACCTGGAGACCATCTAGAATTACTGCTGGTCCCAAACCCAGGTAAGATAGAAGGAATTGGTGTAGAGTTAGCAACCCCAATATGCAATAAAGAACCTTGCTAAGATAAACAAACCAGAAAAAATCTAAGTAATTTAAAATCTGCCTTAAGAGTTGAAGGATCACTTTCATATACAAGAGTTATGATGCTCCATGGTGAAAGCTGAGATTCTTTGAAAGCCACGAAGCCGATGCCCTTTCCAAAACCTATAGTAATAGTTAATATAGGTACATGGAATGTTCGGATAATGTAAGGGATTGGGACGATCATTCGAAAACCTGCGAAAATGAAAAGATCCGACCTGGTGTTGCTTGAAATAAATGAAACCCATTGGACACAATCAGAACAAAATAAGAAATATAATCAAAAACATGGTTTCCAGTTACAAGCTATCCACAATAGCTTCTTAAATTCGAATTAATACCTAACATTGGTTATCTCTCGATTATCTGCTCGGTGTTCCAAGGTCGTCAGTATAATATATTTTTAGTATTTATGCTTCATTAGGTATACGAGTCAACTGCTGAATTATATATAGTAGTTTAGGAAACTGATATTAGTTATTAATATCATATTATAAGCGAAGTGGCAGCTTACTGTTTAAACCACTCAACTTTCAATTAACATGTCAAAAGTCTGAATCTAGCTCTTCAGCAATGGCGTTCATACACAGTGTACAAAAATTTATACTTGATAAATGAGTCACATTGATGCCTTGTAAATATTTGTTTTCTATTATGGTACTACTTTGGCATAGTTAAAGTTGGGCTTTACAGAGCAGTTTCACCCTAGTCAATATCATCACATCAAGTGATTTGTAGCAAAGTATGTGCAACTGATCCTACACAAATGAGGTTAAAAGCTTAATGAATTCATGTTTGTCTCATAACCACAAACGATATTCATTCGATTTAAACACATAAAATTAGTACAAGAAGGCACCAAATACATATGCGCCACACAGATCTCATTTGATATGTATGAGGGCTGTGATACTGTCTGGGTGCCCAAATCAAAGCAGGTGGTTGTCTTAAGGGGCCACACCCGGAGCCTTTGACCTAAATGTCTGATCCGAAAGGCAGTGGAGCAACATCAGAAGATGCAATCTCATGGTAGCCGGTGACCAATAATTGGTTCATACGCCATTTGTTCCTTTAGGATACTGGAGCTTATTATGTGCACCATTGGTTTGGAATCAGGGTTTTCCAACTCTAGGTGGACTCTCCGTGTCCATCAATCCGGCTACAGTGCCGGACATTTGATTTTCGTTCTCTCAATTTCGTAAAAAACACCCCCACCACGAGAAGGCAGTGACGATAACTTCCATGCTCCAAACTTATGTGTATTTAAAATATATAAAGCTCTATAACTGTGGTTTTTAATACTTCAAAATTGAATATTAAAATGATGGATGCCATAAATATGACTACCTGACCTAATTTTCCACTAATATTAATTCAGAATTTCTCTCTTTTGTATATATATTTAATTTTTACTGCACTCCGAGCAAAACGAACAATACAGCCTCAAGGAGAACTATAATGGCTGAATAACCTTAAAGGTCATACAAAGGAATGACTGACGTGAGTGGTTATAACAAAATAACGCGTTAGTTACTATGGTTAAATATAATTAGAATAGATCTTTCAATAGACACAACCAATTCGCTAATTTTCCCAGGAAAAAAGCTATTTACATCTAAACTACCAACTGAAAACGAAAGAATAAAAACTTAAAGAAGATATATAACTCAGTAATATAAAAAGCAAAGAAGAACAGGGAATTTTGGAGATGATGGAATTTTCATACTTCACATCACAAACTGATCTTAGTCCGAGAACGACTGATAGTCAAGATGCACATGGTAGTTGTTTCTTACTAGTATATGGGACTGTGAAACAATGGGCTACCATGACACTACCGGCGACTGAATTCAGAATCTTCAGTCTCATACGTGAACAGTTAGACTATAAACTATTATCGGATGTGAGACAGTTCTTCACCGCAGGCGATAGAGGATAGTCGAGCAACATCGCTTAATTATTGAAGTCAGATATATGAACCATTAGATTCCAGTTCAGTCGTTTGAAGTTGACTAGCTGCCGTTAGACCTGCTATTCATAGGTTCCCAGTAAAGTCACGAATGTGAACTGCTTAAGAATCCCATACTAGGATGTAACATATCCGGCGCTGTCCAATTAAGATCAATCCGTGATGTACACTATCGAAAAAAACACTAATAATTTGAAATGAGTAAATTTATGTTTATGTGCATTTAAAATTACTTCATACTTCCAAACTTTTTAATTTTACTTGATCAAAAAATATCTGTCTATCGATCATTTATGTCATTTCTACCTCAGCTTAATTGTTTATTTCATTAGGCTGAAATCTCTAACGCTTTTACCTTATTTATTAATGACCACTTAAATGTAATCTATCTTAGTTGAGAGTTCAATCCACTATTTAGTTAAACATAAATTTACTCATTTCAAATTATTAGTGTTTTTTTCGATAGTGTACATCACGGATTGATCTTAATTGGACAGCGCCGGATATGTTACATCCTAGTATGGGATTCTTAAGCAGTTCACATTCGTGACTTTACTGGGAACCTATGAATAGCAGGTCTAACGGCAGCTAGTCAACTTCAAACGACTGAACTGGAATCTAATGGTCCATATATCTGACTTCAATAATTAAGCGATGTTGCTCGACTATCCTCTATCGCCTGCGGTGAAGAACTGTCTCACATCCGATAATAGTTTATAGTCTAACTGTTCACGTATGAGACTGAAGATTCTGAATTCAGTCGCCGGTAGTGTCATGGTAGCCCATTGTTTCACAGTCCCATATACTAGTAAGAAACAACTACCATGTGCATCTTGACTATCAGTCGTTCTCGGACTAAGATCAGTTTGTGATGTGAAGTATGAAAATTCCATCATCTCCAAAACTCCCTGTTCTTCTTTGCTTTTTATATTACTGAGTTATATATCTTCTTTAAGTTTTTATTCTTTCGTTTTCAGTTAGTGGTTTAGATGTAAATAGCTTTTTTCCTGGGAAAATTAGCGAATTGGTTGTGTCTATTGAAAGATCTATTCTAATTATATTTAACCATAGTAACTAACGCGTTATTTTGTTATAACCACTCACGTCAGTCATTCCTTTGTATGACCTTTAAGGTTATTCAGCCATTATAGTTCTCCTTGAGGCTGTATTGTTCGTTTTGCTCGGAGTGCAGTAAAAATTAAATATATATACAAAAGAGAGAAATTCTGAATTAATATTAGTGGAAAATTAGGTCAGGTAGTCATATTTATGGCATCCATCATTTTAATATTCAATTTTGAAGTATTAAAAACCACAGTTATAGAGCTTTATATATTTTAAATACACATAAGTTTGGAGCATGGAAGTTATCGTCACTGCCTTCTCGTGGTGGGGGTGTTTTTTACGAAATTGAGAGAACGAAAATCAAATGTCCGGCACTGTAGCCGGATTGATGGACACGGAGAGTCCACCTAGAGTTGGAAAACCCTGATTCCAAACCAATGGTGCACATAATAAGCTCCAGTATCCTAAAGGAACAAATGGCGTATGAACCAATTATTGGTCACCGGCTACCATGAGATTGCATCTTCTGATGTTGCTCCACTGCCTTTCGGATCAGACATTTAGGTCAAAGGCTCCGGGTGTGGCCCCTTAAGACAACCACCTGCTTTGATTTGGGCACCCAGACAGTATCACAGCCCTCATACATATCAAATGAGATCTGTGTGGCGCATATGTATTTGGTGCCTCCTTGTACTAGTATCTATGTGTTAAAATCAATAAATAAATAATATGGAGAGTGAAAGAAAAGGAGCAAAACATACAAACAATAATTTACAAAGTACATTTTATTTTACAAACTAACGGTGCTACTAAAATGTGTCAAACAGGAGAACAAACACACAAAAAATTATGCAATCAATTTGATTAACTCTAATTACTATCAGCAAAAATAAACATTTGACTTACATCAACTATTGAAAATTTCTTTCGAACATCCAAAGGTTTGTTGACCTATAAATATATATGTATTAAGAAATGATAATATTGTAAAGAATTGAAAAGAAATGCATTTCTACTGACTAGACTAGGAGAAAAGCAATTCCTTACATTAAATATAATCTCAAGTACAATGGGAATTAAGATAGAATTTATTTTCGTCAATAGACATTTGTAGTCGAACGGTAGCTCAGTAGGCAAGGTGTTCGACTTATAGTCAATAAGCTCTAAGCTCGAGCCCAACTCCATTTAGTGTGATTTGTGCAAACAGGTATTATCACTGGCCCTAATATTTCGACTGTGACCCGAAATATATGAATCTGTACCTGGTAAATAAGTTATCAATTAATAACTATTAGTTTTATGAAAGTAGATAACCATTACCTAAAATGAATGCTTCCAAATTAAGTAGGACGGATTGTAATCGAATCGAGACTCCTGCACTCACATTATATTTGAAGGAGTCCAATACTAAGATGAGATAGTTGCTGTGTACCCTAGTTTTCAGTGATTATTCAACTTAGATCAGTTCATGATCACAAAAATATTATAGCCTAGTTGTAATGTCACGGAGAAATAAATAACTGTACCAGTTCATTTGCACATGCCATTTTAACTGTGTTCAGTTATATGTATATATATATAGACTAGTCAGTACATGTGGCTGAATAGTATCGGTAATAATTCACTATACTGATAACCGAATAGAGAAATATTCTTTTATTTGTGATAAGAAGCTGAGTTTAGAATAGTGAGAATTATATGAGCAGTTAAATTCATCAATGTACATGAACATGGATGTATAAATACAAACGACATCCTCTTCTAGGATTGTTAGAGCCTGTTTCTGGAAACTTCACATTATTTTCTTTCAAATGACAGTTAAAGAATAACTTCCTTAATCTGTAGGTAGAACTAATTAATTCGTTTTCTTTTCACCAAAATTGTTTCAAATGAAAATTTTCTATTGATTCTCTTTCAATGTATTTGTGAAATTCCTTCAAATGTCCAAATGAAGGTCGTAAATTCGATGCGATATCATGTATGTGCACTTCTTCGAAAAGTCTTGCATTAGAACGAAAGGGACATTCACTGCTTCTAGGTTTTCAGTAACAGATTAACTAAGATCAATTCGTATTTTTAAATTATGAAACATCTCCACAAGTCTTACCATACAAATTTCAAAACTTTAGTTTGACAGTTTTAATTTGATCAACGCTATACCTCAAAGTACCTACCTAAAAGAGAAATTTGACTACCAGTGATTTAAGACTACAAATAGATGGTAGAATTCAGTCATTTCAGTTAATCGTTTATCAATTAAAGATTTGCGAATTCGTTTTTGTACCATACTGTTTCTATAAGAGCTAAACAAACCATCCGGCTACACAAATCAAAATGGTGGAGAAGATTTGTAGCTCAGGTGGATGATTTTGGTGGAGTTTTGTTCTCTGAACGATATCATCAGCACAAACACTTCACTCCTACCTGAAGTTTGTGCTGATGATGTCGTTCAGAAGAACGATGAAAGCTCCACGACCAAACCATCCAGCTCAGAGAACAAAACTCCACCAAAAACAAATCAAAATATTTTAGGCGCGGTACAATCATTCAGCTTAACAAATAAACAGGATGAATAATACATGAAACAATTGTTCACTTTCTTAGCTATTCGGTATCAAACTTGTTTATTGTAAATACACAACTCTTATAAGAAGCACAGATGGATAGTGGCGTTTGAAGCGAACGTACTGCGTTCCAGTCCCAGAGTGAACATCAACTCTGAGATGCAGGTACATCAAGCTGACGAGTCCCAAACAGGACGAAACGTGCGTCCTGGATTCCACTGCTAGCCACTATCCATCTTTGCTTATAATCCTTGTAAATTAAGACAATATCGAGGCATACGCACAGTATGCACATATGCCAATAAGAGACTGGTCAGTTTCAGTCCTAAAACATCAATGAGAAGATTCAAGTAAAACAATACCAAGTGGATTAAACTCTTATAAGAGTTTGGAATTACAAAATTTAATAGCTCAATATATAAATAATGGTTTAACCTACCATAAACTTATATATGCGTTGAAATGTAATTGGTTCACGTTTACTAATAGTATCACGAGATGAAACACCTGACAAAAAAATATAATAAAAATATTTTAAAGAGACAATCGTTTTCCAAAAGGGAGAAGTAATAATAACAAGAGCAAATTACCAAATTACCATTTTTAGATCAGTCAGTCAGTAACAACGTAGAACCTCGTACGTACGTAAATCAGTTCCAGTTGCCATACCACATTAGCACACAGATCCCATGGTGGTGGAGGTAGTAAAAGTATAAGCAGTAATCGGAAAGATTAAAGTTTGAAGATGTTATTCAAGGAGTATAATCCACCGAAATAAATTTGGAAAGAGAAAAAAAGGAGACATGAAGAATTCAGAAGATTAGAATTAGGGAGAACATTTTGCATTCCGAGGGGGGGAATCGCATCTCGAACATCCTTGCATTGTTGCTTACAGTGGTCAAAAAACTCTGCACTTTGTCAGCGTCTTCACCAAATAGAACTATGTCATACACAAAAATATTGAATTACGTTCTCAATGGAACTCAGCAACATTTTAGTTAATTAACATCAAGTGTTATGATGTGAATTTGTCCACCTGGTAAAGACAAGTATTATGGTGAATTACCAGATCTCACAGACACAAAGTAATGTGAATCGACAAAGAATAAGAGGAAATTGATTGTAATAATATTAATGATCGTCAAAAACATTTTTACAAAGAATAGATTTACAATAAAAAAGTATAAATACAACACGACAACCAATTTTGGACCATGAAAATTAAAATCCCATAATCATAAATAACGATTATCTCAAAAACACCGAACAGAACTCCAATGCATCTCTATGAAGTGGATCATACTCACAGTCAGTCAGCTGCAACGTAGGACGAGGCACATATGTGAATCGGTTCAAGTTGGCATACTTCATTACCGCAACATGATGAACACCAAACTCATAGAGACAGTTACTGGTAGTAATGAGTAAAAAACGGTCGCATATTAGGATATGGTACAGGAAGAAAGAATTAGTTCGTCGAGAAAAAGATATGAAGCAATTTTAATCTCACAGTTTGAAGGAGGACAAAGAGTGTATACACCTACGCCACTGTGATCGATTCTGAGCCATGTCACCCACAGTCTCCAACCATTGGATACGATAGTCACGCGGACTCCAACCAAATAGTCTGCATCTACTAATATGACTAAGACCAGAAGTTAACGACTTCAAAGACTTATGCTACGTTTTGATTTGGCCGTCCCTAACATTCATTCATCCATTTGCAACAATAGTCAGAGTTCCGTGACGTGGTATTCGGTGATTGGGCATGCGAAATACGTGGCCCAACCATCTCAGTCAATGAAAATTCACAACCTCACCAACTGATTTAACAGCATTCCCTAATACCCTGCGTCTGACTTCACTATTACTTACTTGGCGATCCCAGCAGTTGCGAAGAATACTTCTAAGACATCTGTGATTAAATACTAGTAACTTACGAGTATCCTTTACACTTAACGGCCACGTTTCGCAGCCCTATAGTAAAACAATACGAACTGCCGTGCAGCATACTCGTCTCTTAATTGATAGATGGATATCTCACCTTCGTTAAAGGTGACGTAAGTTGGTAAAAGCTATACAAACTTTTTGAATCTGAATAGTGATTTCGTCAGACACAAACCCATTATGGCTGACCAAACTCCCAAGATAAGTGAAGTAGTCGATGTTTCCGACTAATTCACTATCTATCCTTAGTTCAGGTGTTGACGCAGGACAGTCCTGAAGCAACAACTTGCATTTGGAGGGTGACAAAGGCATCCCAAACATCCTGGTATTGTTCCTCAGTGCTACCAAAACACTGCATTATACCAGCGTCGTCATCAAACAGGTCTATGTCATCGATGTATTCTAAGTCAATAAGTGGATCTCCTGGTTTGAAATCGATTCCCGAAAATTCAAACGACGAGAGCGTTATCTCCAGCAGTAGGTCTATGATGAAATTGAACAAAAATGAAGATAGTAGACAGCCATTCCAGACACCACTTGAGGTTTCAAAATCAAGGGACAGCTTACCATAAACTCTGACTTGACTAGTAGTGTTCAAGTAAAGATCCTTCACAAGGTTTATGTACTTTTGAGGTACGGCTTTCAGTGACAGACATTGCCACCGAACCAAAAGTCAATAAACTCACTGAACTGACGTTTTGTCTTTATCTGGTTGCCATTAGTCTCTTTTAATCCACTGTATATCATACTAACAAGTATAAGAGGTTGAGGTACACAGCGTAACACATATTCAAAGCATTTTGAAGAAACTGTTGCTTCTTGGCGGGTTCAATCGATAGAATCTGATCAGTACTAGGCAAGACTTGACATATTTAACATTGGTCACAACTCAGTGATCAATCGTAGACGCAAAATTTAATTGAAATATGAATGGGTCGTGAGCTTAGTTCAAATTGAAAGCTTCAATTATCAATAAGTGCACAGATATAACTATACATGTAAGATAACAATAGATAAACACTAACCTGATGTTAACCGTGGAGATTCATATGCTACCACATGCGATGAACTTTCTGATTTACCGTGAGAACTAGTTTGAAAATATGAGACAGTACATCGTAGGTTATGAGCCCCTAATTCTTTCAATTCATGACTGATAATCGCATTCAATGATTGTCCTGGTTGTAAATCAAAAATACTATCCTTAGTATTGATTTCACCAGCATTATTACACAGACCTGGAGTTGTATGAGTATTTGATGATTCTGAATTTGTTGAAGAATTACGTGAAGCAACAGTACTATTAGATTGACCACTTAAAGAAGTGAATATCGGTAAAGTGATCGATTCGATACGGTTGTGAAGAGCAACCTACATATTTATAAAACGAATGTAATCAATAAAATATCGAAGGAAAACAATATATAGTTACAGGAAACAAGTCTGATGATTATAGTTTACGCAGAAGGTGATATCATCGATTAGACAATCACAAAGAAGTATCTATTTGTAATAAGAATCTCTAGCATAACACATATCCAATCCACCTTAAAATTCAAATAAATAAGTGGCTTAAAATTTAAACCAAAGAGTTTCCGATTAGTTTAATCAGTCAGATAGTAGATATTCGATACAAAAACTACAAAAGTATTATCAAAATCTTCAATGAAGATAAAAACTGAAATAAAATACACAATTCATGAGCTTCGAGATAATATGACTAACAAATTGAGATTGATCAATTTAATTGGATTTTTTCTGACAAACATCTCAATTGTGACTTTGACATATGAGGGGATCCAACACTTTTTCGCGGGGGAGGATGAACTCGAAAATTTAAAATCCGGATATCAACTCCGGATCTTCAAAAAAGGGTAGGTGAATAATGGTGATTTTTTGGGATCCATTTATGGACCAATATTACGAGTATATTTTTATCGTATAATTGTTATGTAACTAAACTGTTCATATTCATGTCCCTCTTATTGTGAGCTTTATTTTGACCTATGGACTATTATTATACCATTTACCATTCACGGATTATTCCCTGTCTGTTAATCGCTACCTCCCTCATTCACACCCACATCTGGCTAATTCTTGTACAGATGTTGTTTCATATTTTATTGGTACGTTGTGGTCGGTTTGATTGGTATATAAACTCAGTATGCTTGAAATATAATGATTCATATCTCAGAGACTGAGACTTGCGTTCTGGACTCAACTGGCTGGGTTAGGCGGAAAGCAGGGCCAATCAGAAGTCTTGGTTGTTCTCACGTGTTTATGTGTCTTTGGTTCGATTGATAATACGCTGCCGTCAAATCTGCAGCCACAGTCACAACGATCTCTAATATCAAGAAGCTACACAACATACCGAAGACAGATAGAGAGATTCACAATTCACAAATTCGTATTTGGGTTTATTTTGTCTTTCTTTATCTGTTCAATGTTCTTTTTAGAGCTCAACGATTTCATTCAAAATCTGCCAACATCTTACTACCATGTAAACTGAAAACCAAGTGATTTATTATTTAGAAAGAAATATTAACTAGTCATAGTGTGAAGCAAGAAAACAAAAACTGAATATGAAGATGTTTGTTGTATGTAGACAAAGAAACTATTGAAATCTAGGATGCGCGCTGCGTTCTATCATTTGAACGTATCTTTATCCTAAAGTTGATATTCACAGTGGGACTCAAACTCAGCATATTTTGCTTTAAAATCCAACATCATATGTACTAATTTACTGTTTGCAAATAATCACTAACTTATTTAACAAGTATAATGTTCATATCATTACTAATAAGGGTTTAGATTACCAGTTGTTTTCCATCATTCTACATTACCCGACCGTTGTTGCTACCTTGACGTGGTGGTCGGGCTTGCCTATCGTGATGAAGCAACCGAACTATACTGTCTGGAACAGCCGTTCCTCAAGGCCCTACCATGTCAGACAGGTCGGTTCAAGAGCGTTAAGACCAAAAGCAATAAACCCAATGTCCGAAGGTGAAGTCGTACTGCTGACTGTACAGAGGTGTGACGGCAGTTAGGCGTTTCCTCCAGACAACCAGCATGACAGAGATGTTGCCTTCCCACAAGGAGGGGTGGAGTTAGAAAGGTCGACCCTAAAAATGCACACTTCACCTTATACCACGGATATCCGTCTCCGGCGGTAAGATCTCAACAAGTACGGAGCTAACACAAAAATTACTCATAAAAAGGTCGTGTGTGACCGACCTCAAGCAGTTGTCCCTTGAGCACTGCGGTCACGCTCTCAGGTCACTAAGACCATCTCTAATCCAATTCCCTTTTCAGGTGTTTCCAGAAGAACCCTTCCACGATGTGGGCAACCGGGAAGTGATAATCGCCCTCATACCTCTAACAGCACTCAGAACCACTGTATTCACATTAAAATACACAGGAGGAAAGAACGGAGTACCTTTCAGTGCATCATTATTGCGTTATAAATGAATTGAAAGAAGAGTATAATCAAAACAAAACACTAAATTATAAAAAAGGTATCTGTTTTAGTAAAGAATATAGAAAAGTAATTCTATATTAGTACAATCTATAAATCGTGAATACTTCGGTGCAAAGTCATTAAATTGACTTAACACTTAGAAGTTTACCTGTAAAAGTCTACTCATAAATGTAAAAAACAATAAAAATATATAAAAAGTGTAGAATGTGAAATCTATAAAATGCCTTCTGAAGAAAAACGATAAAAATATAAATTGTGTTTTATTTCAATGATAACTAATTGAATTTATTTGTGGTGGCCGGTATTCGATATAATTCTCAAACTTCGTATACAGTTCGTCTTGATAACCGTCCTATATAACGCCCCAACGGTATACTAATCAGAAGGCGAATACGAAGCTTTGATTACGTTTATTAAGGGATCACACACAGATATCCTAAATTACAGATGCGTTAAACAAGCATAGAAGAGTTGTGCCGAAAGGCAAGCAGGCAAGCAAGCGAGCGAGTGAGTTAGCGAATCGAATACGAGTAAGCGAGTACTATTAAGCGAGAGAGAGCAATAAACATGAATAACATGGAAATATATATACATAGTGAAATGGATGAATCCATTGAGCGGTTAATAGTAAGGTTAGCAGCCTGAGTAAATGCGTGGGCAGTAGGCAATGCTCAATCATACATGTTCATACATTCGCAACAGTAATAAAGATGCAATGGTATAGATAAGTTGTTGTTATAAGGATGACTCAATTCGTTAATAAGTTAACAAAATGACATATTAGAATTAATTTTGAACGAACTCAATTTCACGTGAGCTGTTATATATTATACATATAACCACTACCCAGTATAATTGACTCAAGTACTAGAGATTGAGATTGATGTATGTGAGATATGATCTAAACTTTAATTGTACGAACGATCAAAGATCTTATCCAATTCCTCAAACTAAAATAGGTGGAGTGAGATTTCAATTTATGTTTTAATTACTGGGCTATAAATCTAGTATTATTTATTTTTTTTTATTTATTTATTTGAACACATAAATATTGGTACAAGAGGGCACCAAATACATATGCGCCACACAAAACAAAGAGAATTCGAAGAGAAAGAAAAAAAGAACAATAACGAATAGATTAGTGTAAGGTGATGTAATAATAGTAATAATGATAATAATAATAATAGTAATATTAATAATAATAATAATGGAGGGAACGGAAAGGTACAATCAGAAGAAATCTTTCAGTTAAGGAAGATACAACCCCCGAATGCCCTGGTATGGCCGAGAGTGGAGAGGGCCCGCCCTCCCTCTCGAAACGCTCTCACACGGCCTTGCGTATACAGCCTCTGCCAGGAAAGTCCTACTCACTGCCTTCTCGTGACGGGGGTGTTGCTTACGAAAATGAGGACGAAAAGCGAATGCCCGGCGCTTTAACCGGATCCCAAACCGATGGTGCACATGGGCTCCAGTATCCTGCGGGAACAAATGGCGTATGAACCAATCGTTGGTCATCGGCTACCATGGGACTGCACCTCCTCACGATGCTCCACTGCCTTGTGGGTCAGACCTTAAGGACGAGGGCTCCGGGTGTGGCCCCCTAAGAAAACCACTTGCTTCGGTCTGGGCACCCGGGCAGTATCGCAGCCCACACACAAACAGAATGAAATGACAATACTTACGGAAAATACTATCCTTGCTTCGACTAACAGTCAATCTAACATTAAAAATTTTAGACCATAGAGTATTGAAATGAAGAAAAATGACATCAAACTAATCAAATATTAAAGATCAATAATTGCTGGTTCTACGTATTTACTGAAACTTTAATTCAAAAACTGTGATTAAAAGAATTCAATGCTAAATATACACAGTAATATAACATCATAAGATGTCTGTAGATGAGAAGAATACACTGCTGTTATGTGTAAATGTGCACTTCAACACCAGTAATCAATATTTTTCATTAGGGCTGCTTCAATTTTTTGTCAATTATTTAAGAAAATAAACATATAATAAAATAGATGAAGAGGATTGTTTTATACTCATTCTCGATCGGTAAGTGGATACATTCTTAGGAATCTCCATTAAAGAAAGTTCAACTGAAATTAATATCATTAAAATATTTCTTTAAATTTATATACAGTAGTCAGTCAGTACCAACGTAAAACTTCGTACGTACGTACGTCAGTTCGAGTTGCCACACCACATTAGCCCAGAGATTCAGTTGTCGATTCAAATCCCACAGTGGTAGAGGTAAGAGTAAGAGTATAAGCATTAATCGGGAAGATTAAGGTTTGAAGATGTTATTTAAAGAGTATGACCCAGTGAAATAAATTTGGAAAGAGAAAAAAAGAGACAAGGAGGAATCAGGAGATTAGAATTTGGGAGAACACAAAGAATGGATGCATCTGCGTCATTGCAAACGATTTTGAGCCATATCATTCAAGGTCTCTAACCATCGGTTGCTATCTTATATACAGTAGAGCATAAATTAGTAGTACAGACTGAATCTTAACAAGAACAAAAAAGTGGAATTCAGGATAGTAGCATGTGAATTGTCAAAAACCTTGAGGAAAAAAACATGACACGATACTAATAGTTCAAAAGTATAATCTTGTCTACAATATTGAAAACTTTGAAAATAATTTTTATTACGTAATGAATTTGAATTCCTGTTCTATCCGTAAAAATTCATCTTTATGTGAAACTTTCTCTAAGTTTCATTACTATGTAAAACGCTTTCCTCATGTTAGCTCATGGCTATTTTAATACGTTAGCATTCTTTTATTACACTCTCCAAGATATTATAAAGACATCTATCTATATGCAAGAATCTATTCAGAAAATCAATTCTCTTTAATCTCTTCTATAAATGTATTGAGTAAACTTGGCCAATTACTGTTGTTAATTGTAACTGATTTCGATAATCTTGAATACCAAGAGTTTGTTAAACACGCCAAATACGAAACGAGTTCTATAAGGATTAGATAGACAGGATAATCAATACACAACAATTCAACAATAATTCCCTACTGTCTGCCTACATGACTTGATAAAAGAGAAGTCTTGTATCATAGATGTATTGAAAAAGACCTCAATGAAATTAAAGTTACATTTAGGCTCATTTAGATTGGGTAAACTGTTAGAATCACAACATAAGTTTTTCCTCGTATCTACTTCCATGAAGATTTAGTATCGTTAATATATAATGTGACATCTCAAGAATAGTCAAGTTGTTTCAGTAAATCACGTAATTATAAGCAACGTGGAGCCTAGCATATATATATATATATAACAATGTAGTTCGAACCATAAAGAACTAACCCAACCGGCCGTAAAGAATCAGTCAAAACAGTTGAAAAATATTAACTGGGAGAGATAAACAACAGTACAAGTAACAAAAATTATTCAAGATTTAGATGAAGCGAAAAACTATGGATCATCAGTAATTATAACAGACATTAACAAATAAAGGAGGGTTAGTTTATAATTCATACATTCCAGAAAAAGCATACGGTTTACATAACTTTCCTAGGTTTTTAATTCCCTAAGATTATCTAATCATGAAATTATTACACATTCAGCGATTTTAGAAGCCGTCTCAAGTTAGAGATGGTTGTAAATGATGGTGTAATACAGGAAGCGAGACTTGTTCTAGCTTCGAGTCTTAATTTGAACATCAACACTAGGATAAATGTAGATACAGGCGATGAGTTCTAAGAACAAAACGAAACGCGCTTCCTCTACCCTATTCCCATTTGTAATCCAAACCTATAAAAAAAGTAATAATTACATACTATATTGCGAAGGATCTGCCGAGGATGTACATAACGCAATGAAGACTGGTTAATTACAGGTTTTAATCGCAACACAATGAGGAAAATCAAATCCTGGGATTGTCTATTGAAGAAGGGTGTGCCGGAGAAGTTTATTAACATCCTAAAAGCCCTATATACAAACACCTCAGGGAGTGTGAGGGCATACAACTACCTCTCTCCATTGTTCCATTCGAGCAGTGGGGTTAGGCAGAATTGCCCAATATCACCATTCCTCTTCAACTTTGCCATCGATGACATTCTAGAAACAGCTCTGATGGATGTAAGTAATAGTGGTGTGGATCTGTTGCCTGGAGAAAGACTTCTCGACCTTGAGTATGCAGATGATATTGTCTTACAGTGTGATAATGCCCAAGGCATGCAATCCACACTTAATCGGTTGGCAATCAGTGTCCGTAGGTATGGTATGTGCTTTGCACCTTCGAAGTGCAAAGTACTTCTACAAGACTGGCAGGATTCTAATCCTGTAATCACCCTGGATGGTGAGCAGATAGAGGTAGTCGAGAAGTTCGTGTATCTGGGTAGCTGCATAAGTGCTAGTGGGGGTGTGAGTGATGAGATCAATGCACGTATAGTGAAAGCCAGAGCGGCTTATGCCAATCTGGGCCACCTTTGGTGCCTTCGTGATGTTAGTCTGGCTGTAAAAGGTCGGATCTACAATTCGTCAGTAAGAGCAGTTCTGCTCTATGCTTGTGAAACCTGGCCTCTCCGAGTTGAGGACGTTAGACGACTTTCTGTGTCCGATCATCGCTGTCTCCAAAGGATTGCTGACATTCAGTGGCAACACCATATCAGTAATGCAGAGGTTCGGCATCGTGTGTTCGGGCACAGAGATGATAATGCAATCGATGTCACCATCTTGAAACATCGACTTCGGTGGCTTGGACATGTTCTACGAATGTCGTCCCAGAGAATTCCACGTCGTGAATTATTTGCGGACGCTGGGACTGGTTGGAAGAAGCGGAGAGGTGGTCAGTGCATGACACGGTGTCGTGGCATGAAATAAAGCTGCAAAGGACTGGTTTCTGTCGGTCCTTCACGACTCCCTAGTTGGGGTCCGAGAGATGGTGCAACACAGTGGCTAGAGACGTTATCAGATATGGCTCAGAATAGAAGCCAGTGGCGATCCTGCTGTAACCTTCTTTTACTTTCTTCATAACAAAAGTGGTTGTATCTTCCTTAACTGAAGGGTTTCTTCTGGTTGTACCTTTCCGTCTCCCCCATTTTTATTATTATTATTATTATTATTATTATTATTATTACACTACCTTACACTAATCTGTTCGTGATTGTTCTTTTTTGTTACTCTCCTTACCTTCCTTTTTTTCTCTTCCCATTCTCGTTGTTTTGTGTGGCGCATATATATTTGATGCCCCCTTGTACCAATATTTATGTGTTCAAATAAAATAAATAAAATAAGATAAAACAATTGTCTAATGCTTCCAAGTTTTCAATGGTAATCTAGCTTAGATCGGACTTATGAATTCAACTATGAAAATACTATAATCTTCACAAATCCCCATACTTACTTTTAATTCAACATTGTAACAAATTTGATTACTTTCATTATGTAAATTTATATGTGCCGAGAATGTTTCACCCAAATAAATAGTACTATAAAATAAATAAAAACAGATAAGATGGGAATGATAGTTTTGTTTTTGTTTCTCAATTAATTATCATTATCATTTGTATTCCGGGTGAGATGAACTTAAAATAAGGGCGATTCATTTTTAATTAGTTTTTTAACCATTCAGAAAAATCTTTGTAAATGAGTAGTTTATGAGGGGGGAAGGGGAAGGGGAACAAAGTATAGAGAGATTAATCTGTCAGTAGATTGAGAAAAAAAAAGATGATATAGAAACTTATCCTTGTGACGATAGATTATCCGTTTTCCTAAACTCTTAAAAAGAACCAAATAGATTTTTCATCTATGTCATATTGTTTCCAGATAGAGTTAGATATTTATTAGTGTAATAGGGGCTTTGAGGTTAGATTTTTCGTAATAAACTAACATCACCGGGTAAGTAATAGTGAGGTGAGACGCAGGGTATTAGGAAATGATGGTAAATCAGTTGATTAGGTTATGAATCTTCATCGACTGAGATGGTTGGGCCACGTGTTACGTATGCCTGAACACCGATTACCACGACGTGCAATGCTAACCGGTGTTGGAGATGGTTGGAAGAAAGTTAGGGGTGGCCAAACCAAAACAAGGCATCAGTCCACAAAGTCACTAACATCTAGTCTGAGCCATGTTGGTAGATGCAGACTACTTGGTTGAGGTCCGCGTGATTATCGTAACGAATGGTTGGAGACTCTTGGTGACATGGCTCAGAATCGATCACAATGGCGCAGGTGTATACACTCTCTGTCTTCCCTTAAACTAAGAGATTAAAATCGTTTCATATCTTTCTTTCTACGAACTAATTCTTTCTTCCCGTACTATATCTCTATATGCAATCTTTCTCTTATATATTACCACCTTTGACCTAACCAGTCCTATGAATCCGGTGTTCATCTTGTTGTGTTGATGCGGTATGGCAACCTGGACCGATGCACATATGTGCCTGGTCCTACGTTGTAGCTGACTGACTGATAATGTAAAAATGCTCTGTGGCCAAATTGATGAATGAATCTAGTGCAAAAAGGTATTATGGGTCAATTAATTAGTTTAGGGGTCAACATTTCCAGTTGAAACTTTAAGAAATTCTCATAGTTTGTACATTTACTACAAATGACTGTAAAAGTTGTTTAAAATTGCATGACGTTGAATACCTTCTCTTCCATTTTGAATCCCTTATAGCACAGCACACTGATAACCGCTTGCAAATACACTGCTACAAACACACATCTCTTGTTCTCAGTTGCTTGTTGTTACGATAACTGACCTCCAAAATACTTGTTACCTACATTTATAGACCACAGTCATATTTCCATTAAATATCCCATCTGGCTATACCGCTGGAATTATAACAACCTTTATTGGAATTATCACGTATAATTGTGGATTATTATGCCAAATGCAGCTCGAATACGGCATGGCCTGCCAATTTAAGTAACGTCTTGTAACTTTTCCTTGTTTATAAATTATATTTAATATATTAAAAAATTAATTTTTGGACGTAATAACTTTATTATCATTTTTGGAGTTAATATAATTTTGGGTCCACCACAATTATCTGGTGAGGCCGATGTTTATTCTGTTTGTGATATTGTTTATTTTATCTGACTCGCTAGTTTATTTTTTATTTAATGTACTCTCCTAATAACCTTAGTGACATTGAAGGTCCCCTATAAACGCTCCTACTTCATTACCCAACTGGTCTGACCCCATTTTAAGCGCAGTTAATACAATACTTCAATTCAGATTCCCAGCATAAGGAGCTAATAATTTAAGAGTTTGGTTCGCACAAGTAGAAGCCTTATTCATATCTCGAGGAATTCGTCCTCAGGCAGCAAAATATGCACACGTAGATAAATACAGATAACAAATATTTTCGAGTTCAGTTATCGTAACAACAAGCAACTGAGAACAAGAGATGTGTGTTTGTAGCAGTGTATTTGCAAGCGGTTATCAGTGTGCTGTGCTATAAGGGATTCAAAATGGAAGAGAAGGTATTCAACGTCATGCAATTTTAAACAACTTTTACAGTCATTTGTAGTAAATGTAAAAACTATGAGAATTTCTTATAGTTTCAACTGGAAATGTTGACCCTTAAACTAATAATTTCGAAAATAATAAAAAGTAATAATTTTCTTAATCTTAATGGATAGTCGCTTAGTATTGCAAATTTTGAAAAGTATTGTTAGTTTATCTCTTGAAATTCTATACTTACCCAAACGAATGAGTTAAACTTAGCAGTTCAGTATATCCACCAACTTTTGGTTGTATATAATTATAATTATCTTTACTGTCATTATTTAATATATGATCATAGTTAGGAGATTCATGAGAATTTGAAGAGGGAGGTATATTACCAGTAGATAAAAGATTTAACGCAATACCATCAAGGTCTCCACGAATACTTGCGTCAGATGCTGTTAAGCACCCTGCTATGTCATCCAGATAAAGTTCAGTTGGTTCACAACGTTGTATAACAAATGTTGGACGATTAAGTCGCATTACTACAAGAAGAAATATCAATCAGGGGTTATATTTTAAGTGAATTTCACAACGATAAGTAATCTGATACAGCAAAACATGTTATAAAATTTATTTAATAATAATGAATAAGACATAGTCAATCAACTAGTCATTCATAACGTAGAACCGGGCATATATGTGGATTAGTTCAAGTTGCCATACTGTATTAGTACAGTGAAAAAAAAATCGTAAATGCGAACCCCGAAATAGTAGAAATAGTAAGTTATAGTGGTACTAGAAAATGTTAAGCATAAATCATGTAATTCGAGACAATGAGTCCGTGAAATAGAAAAAACTATAAAATAATTTACGAGCTTAGGATTAAAGTATAGTCAAAGAGTGAATACACAATTCCAACCACTCCTGAGCCATGTTATCCAAAGTCACTAATCACTGGTTACGACTATTGCATGAACTCTAACCAGGTATTTTGCACTTGTCCGCATGGTTCAGTTTAACGGATAATGACTAACGCCGTGTTTTGATTTGGCCGCACTCTAGCTTTCTTTCAACTTCTATATCAGGAAACACCGCCCATCGACTTAGATTGGCCATATGCAGTAATATCCCTGAAACTTCAGTTGATAAAAATTCATTACCTCATACATGTGATCTGCATAAGACTCAAAGTTAATAAATGCATTAACTGATTACTCAGTAGTTTCCAATCGAATTCTATCGATCAACCTAAGCCGTGACTACCGGTCCTTACCACTGATTAGATTATACATTATTTAGATATGAGTATAGCTTTCATCGAGAATTCAAAACTATTTTAAGCACTATTATTGACCAGTTAGTCTGTAATACCTTGGGCTTCGTATATCAATCACCCTGATAACCGTTATTAAATAAATCCCAATGATGTATGAATCCAGCAGGCAACACGAAGCGCCGACTACAGTTTATCACTGAATAGCGCAGATCAAGCACATCAAACACACCGAACATTAGTTTGTATTGTCAGTATGGGGCTGTCGAAGCTATTAAATTTCACTGAAATCATGAACCGATCTGAGTTAGACAACCAATGAAAGCCTGAAAGCACTCGACAGTCGTTTCACCCCATTATGGGACTCTTCAGCAGTGTGTGTTCACGACTTCCGACCGAGACTCGAACCCAGGTTTATATTTAAGACATGTACATAGACACTTTGATTTTAATGGTATCTTGATAACAAACAAGGAGTTACATCCTGAGTTTAGATACATCATCAACAAAATGCTATTTTATCAAGCACAAATGTTACTCCATTGAGTAACACCGCTTTTGATTACTTATTCACTATTTGAGTAAGACTAAACGTTGCTACAAAAAAAACTTACCAGATTCACACTAACTATAGTCATCACTTTTCCAAGGACATATGCATTCTAGATCGATGGGATCACTATAACCATTTTAAAAACATGATCAAAATTGTGCATAAATAAGCATAGATAGGTATAGGTATATATGTGTATGTCTGTATTCTTGATATTTCCCTCAACAACAAACAAAATTATCTACCATTGTCCAGTTGGACATACAATGATGAACCTATCAAATATATTTTTTGAAGGGTACACAAAAATACAAATAACAAACTGATTGGCTGATATTGGAATATGATACATATGATGATGGATCACTACAGTGATTACGGAAGGAATACTATCAAACAAATTTAATATTTGATTGGGAAATTCCACTCTACAACTAGTGTCAACATTTCACAACTCATTTATAAATGAATTTTATTTCATTCATATTTCTAAAAGAACAACATGTTTCCATGATAGTAAAACATACCGATGATTCTATTTGTTCGAATGGAACTTACAAATTTTACATATTAAAATAAACATATCTATCTATATCTATATATAAATTATTGATAATGTACACAATCATTGATCTACATAGAATGTAATAAGAGTTAGGGGTTAATAGCCCAAGTATTAAACTGTAAATATTGATTAACAGATAACCATACAAAACTATGGGAAATATACTACTATTATTATGATTATTGGATATGTATTGTTTAATCTATCTCTCTTCAAACCCATTTCTCTAGAGTACAAGAAATCCAATATATATAGATTAAATATATGCACTATTATGTGTATATATCAACTATAAAGTAGAATATTCACTTCACTTACAAAGTATTCTCATTACTTATGATCCTGTTACTTGGGCTACTTTAATATTTTAACATAATTTATTCAATAATATCAAAGTTTATATTGTAATGATCATGGTGATTAATTCAATGAAAGTTAATTCATCTTTTTTTAATATGATTATCTTCTATTATTGTATTATTTCAAATTGTAATACATCATTACATCATCATCAGCATCATCAACAACAACAACAACCAATTATGAACACCACCACCACCACTACCACCACATCATCATCAGATCTATTTAGACCACTTAATTGTACAGTGGATTATCATATTGATTTAGGTTTGAAACCAGATATTCAACATAAAGAAGATACAATATTTAAACATTCTTCTCAATCACCGATATTAAGTGTAGGTGCATATCAATGGATTGAATTAACATGTACATGTTGTTGTAAATATACTGAACAATGGAAACAAATTATTAAAACACAATTAGCTCAATCTATCAGTCAAACAGTAGGGATTAATCAATCGTCAATAGATGATAATAATAATAATAATAAGACGGCAACAACTTTATTGTATAAAATTACATCTTCCAATGGTTATGTGATTGCTTTATCACTTTCTAAGAGAATACATTCTAATATTCATTTGTATCATTGTGAAAATACTACTGATAGTACTACTTATATTAATCATAATAATTCTCTATGTATTACTTTATATTTAGAGATAAAATGTAATACAACTAATGGATTTTATATACATGCAGAGAATTTAGGTCATAGTCAAATTACTACTTCATTAATTTGGTTAAATAGTACATCAAGAAAACATATTGAATCATTGACAAAATTAACTGATTCATTAAATATCATTGATGAACATTATCATCCACAGAATCATTCAACAGCGACGACAACAGCGACAACAACAGTGACAACAACAATCACTAGTCCAGAAAGTATGAGACAACATCAAATACAATTACAAGAAGAAACATTATATCAATTAAATAATAATAAAGGATATACTGTTACAATACAAGATCATACACAAATTAAAATTACTGAAGCCAAAATTTATGTACCAAAACAACAAGTGAATTATTATAACAAATTAATAGAAGAGTTGAATAGTAACAATAATAGTTTAATACAGGATGACGAAAGTCATGGTGTATGGAAAAATTATTTATGGTTAACAGTATTATTAAGACCACAGAAATTTTATATTGTATCTGATTGGAGTTCAGCAATAATTGCTTTTATGCTTGCATTATCTGTCGGTTGTTGTAATGATCCAATTATGATTAGAGAACAATTACATGAACCAAAAGCTATATTGACCGGTTTATTTTGTCAACTGATTATAATACCAATGGTAGGTGGTGCTAATCTCTGTGTGTGTGTGTGTGTGAACGAATCATATGAGTTATATTTGATAGTAAACATTTTTAGCTAGGAAAGTAAGGATAAAATAAATTGAGTTACTGGCTTTTTTCCCCTACTGATGTGGTTCGGGGACCACTTCTATATACGTTTCCAAATTAAACTAGTACAATCGACAGTAGAGAAAGTTCGCTCTTATTCTCAAAATGTTCACTAGCTGCATTCACACGTCGTGTTTTTTTTACAAAATTCAGAGCACGAAAAGTAGAATTTCGGCGACAAAATTGTGTTTATGTATACAGATGGTTCAGCCAAGGGAGTTAAATAACTTTGGTTTCAAAGCGGTGGGAACGGATGACGTTACCAGGTAACATAGAACAGTATATCTTAACAATGCTGCATTGCCTTATAGATAAGACCTCTAGGTGAATGGCTGAGGGAGTGATCCCCCAGAAAAGCCAAATGCATCAGTTGTAAGTTCGAACTCCAATTCACTTACTTCAGTCTAAGAAGCTGGATAGTATCAATAAACCTGACAAAAAATGTATAACTCAAAGCAGAGAACATAAAATTTTATTCCGTTATTGAGTTGCAATGTGTATTTTATGGATGTCCAGATATATTTAATCGTATTTCTTGATACCCTTCAGAAATAAACAAAATGTCTAATTAAACTATATTTTCAGTCACTAAGTGTAAACAAATGGTGTTCCTTAATGGCTTCTAAAATTTATCAATAGTCAAATGTAACCATGAAATTTAATTCATCATATCTTGGAGTAGCGCCCCATCTAAGCTACAATGCTTCCAGATCCAAATCAGTTTACTGAATAGCAGGTTTTAGTCTGTACTAAAATGCACTCCTCACTTATTACTATTCAAAATCCCATTAGAGTTTTTCAATATAGATTCAGTTAAAGCATTATTAGTAAATAGTTCGTTATTCTGGCTACTAGAATGATAGATATGACTTAAGATTTCGTAAAAAAAAAGATGAGTTTACCAACATAACCGGTAGACAGTTATCAGTAAACAGGGTACAACTTTTTGTCCATTAACGTTTCAACTGCTTGAAATCACAAAAAATGGATGTAATTTTAAGTTGAAATGATGAGTCAATTGAAGCTAGACCACCATGGAAAACCTGGAAGCACTGGATGGCCGTTTCGTCTTAGTATGGGACTCCTCAGCAGTACACATCCACGATCCCGCCCCCCGCGAGATTCAAACCCAGGACCTATCAGTCTCGCGCCCGAGCGCTTAAACATTAGACTACTGAGTCGGCATCCAACGATGATTTCAACTATTGAAATTACTAAAATCTCCAAAAGAACCCTTCTGATAGTAATTTTAAGTACTTATTTCGTTATAAACTACTACATTTTTACTAGAAATATAAAAGAAATACTGTAATGAAGACTTATTCCGATATTTATCTTCTATTATGAAGGATAATCGTTAAGTTAAATTTACTCAACAAATTAATCACACACAAAAAAACAAATTCGAGAATATAAACTGAAGAATTATTCCGCCTCAATTCTATATCACCATTCCATTCAGTCAGTACTTATCCCAACATAAACAAAAGAAACATACAACATTCAGTTACTAAACTTGTTAACAGCTCAAGAATGAAAGAAAAAACTCAACATTAACATGAAAAATATTTAAACTAACTAGAAAATAAACGTTACCAGTAGTGTACTGATTTAGTGTTTAGTCATGATACTTTATCTATACATTTAATGATCCAATAATGGTGAGGTGTTGATAAATACTAGAAGTATTCTTTCGTTCATTTTAACTTAACCTAATTTAATCGTCACTAAGTACACAAGCAATATGCTCATCTTGATGCCATGCATTTTATTATCGAAAATTAAGTGGAATTATTGAATCACGTTGAACTAGAATCAATGGATTGAGGTTTTTCAGTCAGTCAGCTACATCGTAGGACCAGGCACATATATGAATCGGTCCAAGTTGCCATATCTCATTAGCACAGCAAGATGAACGCCGGATTCATAGGAGTGGTTAGGTCAAAGGTGGTAATATATAGGAGAAAGATTGCATATAAGGATACAGTACAGGAAGAAAGAATTAGTTCGTAGAAAGAAAGATATGAAGCGAGTTTATTCTCTTAGTTTAAAGGAAGACAGAAAGGGCATACACCGACGCCATTGTGATCGATTCTGAGCCATGTCACCAACAGTCTCCAACCATTGGTTACGATAGTCTACATCTACTAACATGGCTCAGACTAGAAGTTAATGACTTCAATGACTGATGCCACGTTTGGGTTTGACCGCCCCTAACATTCTTCCAACCATCTCCAACACTAGTCAGCATTGCACGTTGTGGTAATCGGTGTTCAAATCGAGAGTTAATAAAACTACAATACAATGTTTTAAATTTGATCATATAAACTACTTATCCCCATCATTTATATAGTTCATCTGAACATGGAGTTGATTTTAAGTAAATATTCAATGTTATAAGATAAAAAAATACTTAAACCTACAATTTCAGAGATTGTAAATTCAAGACATTCATTCTATTCTATACATTAATCTTAATAATGAATCAATAAATTATTTTACAGGTTGAAATCATGAGTCAATTGAAGCTAGACCAATGCTGAGGATTCCCATACTAGGACGAAACGGCCGTCCAGTGCTTCCAGGTTTTCCATGGTGGTCTACCTTCAATCGACTGATGATTTCAACCTGTGAAATTTCTAAAAATCTCCACAAAACCCATTCTGATAACAAATTCTTTGTTATAAAATGTAAAATAACCATATGAATAGACGATCAAAAATTATTATCATAAGCAAGCCGGACAAAGAGGGGGCTAGTTTTTATGAACAAAGCTGATTACATTAATAAAATGAAAGTGATTTTGAATGATCCGACAAAATTTCAGAAACTCAACGACGTTAAGGACTTAAATATGAAGGCAGAAAAATTGCTGACTAACTCACTGAAGGAATTAAAAAATAAAGGTATTCTTACTCC